ACCCATCAAACATCAATTTAGTTTTGGGTTTAAGACAAATGGTATGATTATGTTAGAGGATTGTTCTAGCAATCTGTAAGCTATAGAGAATACAAGACCTTCTTTTCTAAATAAATTTTTCACAACGTAAGTTTTAATATGTAAAAAAGTTTTAAAAAAGAAGGAAGAAGGTAGGGAGGGAGGAGGTGGAAAAGTTGGTGGAAAGAAAGGAATACAGAAAAGAAGAGGAAATGGAGGAGAAGAAAGAAGAAAAGGAGAGAGAATATAGTGAGGAAAGAAAGCCAAGAAATTAAATGTATTGCTTATTTCCTAATTGAATAATGAATGATACATTTTTTCTTTTTGTAGTCTTGTCAAAGGCCAGTGTTCGAACAGTTAGTCATTTTATATACCAAAGCAGAGGTAAATCAGCTAATCAAAAAAAAAAAAAATTCTTATCTTGACTTTTCCTTTAGAAGAAAACGACAAAAAAAATCAGTTTCTGTGACCCTTGACCTTTGAACTCCAGCCTCCTGCCAGGAAAGCACTCAGTACCTCATTTAATCTCTCCTCTCTGCACTAGTATAGTGCTGAAGAAAGGAAAGAGAAAAAAATAATCTGGGGACTTCATCAATTTTTCATGAATTTTCATTTAGGCCAGAACCCCTTCTTCCCCTGGTCGATAGATCAACTGCTGTCATATATTTACCACCTGGGGCTACAGCTGCTATCTCTAGGGATCTCCAGGAGCTGAATGAGTGCAGCCAAGCTCATGGGAGGGCTCCTTGTGCTCCTTCAGCTCCACACACCAGCACTTGTCCAGGGATGAAACCCTATCTGCCCAGCCTCACCATGCTCTCGCTGGTCCCACTGGAAAACTATTAACTGATTGAGGACCAAGTCTACTGGCTTCTGGCTCTGCAAAGCTGAATTCTCACTCTTAAGACATTGCATGTTGTAAGACACCCCTTAGGTTCAAGTGGCCTTAAAAACAATTAGAATTGCTCTGTTCTTGTTTTTGGCTTTTGCTTTTGTTTTTCTCCCTAAAGCAATTTTTAAAAAGAAAGAAAACAGTAATAATGTGTTGATTCAAATCTACTGAAATAATTGGTCCTGAATAGCTATTTTTTCTTCAGTATTTTCTTTTTCTATATTCTAGTTTTCTCTGTATTGTCCCATTAAGTATTAAATAAAGTTGAAGAACAGAGAGAAAGGGAGAGAAGAAAAAGTAAAAAGTAAAATCAAAGTAAAAATCGGTGGCTAGTCACAACTTTCTCACGTTGCTACAGCAGAATACTGTATGTTTACCTTGAAAATCAATGCCAAACAATTTTCATACTTTTATATCAATAATTAGTTCCCAGTAAAGGCTTCAACAAGTTGTCACATTAGTTATAGATACATGAACTGATCATGGCAGCACACCTACATCTCAAGGACATTTTGCAATGTGTTCAGACATTTTGGGTTGTCATAACTAGAAACGGCAGACAGTCTTATTGGCATCTTATGAGAAAATTCAGAGATGCTTGTAAATAACGCAGAGTGCAAGTCTACAGAACACCTGCCATAAAAAAATCTGAGGATGACACTCTATCTTCCTAAATTGATGCTAAAATTATCTGATGTTTAATTCCTACATCTACTTCTAACCATTTGTCATTCCCACCCTTACCACTATTTTCAGCTTAGAACTTAAGGCTAAGCATTTTTTTCTGAATTGTTTGATAGATTCTTAAATCCTCTCTGACTTTTTATGATCCCTTCAGTAAAACATCAATTCAAAGACTTGCCTTGCATATAACAACAACAACAAAAATCTAGATTTTATGGTTCATAATAAGCCAACTGTAAAGTCCTCCATGGGAAGACAGAGCAGGTTAAGTCTCTGCCCAGTACCTGTGTCACCTAGGTAACTGGTGCACTTGGAGGCAGCCATCCACCCCTTTCTTCCCCCCTCCACCGCCCAGGTCACATCTGCATCTGGTGTGGCCACACCTTCTCCTGCCCCTGGCCTTGATAAATCTTGGCCTGGCAGTGGTTCAGCCTTTTTATTCCTGCTGTTGCATAGGCTTCCAACTTGACCAGAGGTGGCCTACAAATAAACCTTTCCCTTGCCTGAATACCACATGCTGCTCTCCTTCCTCAGCTGCCAATTTAATTTACTTAACACCAACCTTTCCAACTCATTCTACCCACACAACAACCCAACAAGTTGCCTACAGGTTTTCAAACACTCAGTGTTTGCTTGCTTTCCACCTACCATAGTCATCATTCACTTAAATTTCTATCTTAGACATTCTCACCTGACTTTCCAGAGTCCATGTAATGAACCATCGTAAAAAGTTTTCTTGAAATAATTTATTAAGGAAGAATTAAATACTGTCCCCTCTGGGTTCACAGATTATAATATTTGTCTCTGTAACAAGCTTTAGTGTTTCTATCTAATTTATAATTGCATATGTACAGATTTGTCATCCCAAGTATATTGTAAACTCTTTGAATTGAGTTAGGATACCCTTCTTCATTACTATTGTCCAGCACCCTGTCAGTCTATATCCATGTACCAGATGAGGAGTAAAACACAACATGAATGAGCACATGTTCTGTGTTGTAAAATAAAAATATAAAATACATTCATATAATCTGAAATCATTCCTCTACTATTCTGTAGGAATAATTACCAAGAGATACTGAAAAGTCGCTATGTGTTGACCCAAGTTTACATATTAATAGGTTTTAGGAAAATCACAAGAGAGAAGGCTGAGCTAATGGAAAGAGATGAGTAACATAAAAATGAATCGCATTTGATCTTGTGTTGCCTCAAATGGCATGAACTGTTGACATGCACTAGAAGAAAGAATTTTATTCACTAGCTAAATCCAATTTGGAAGCCTTCTCATTTTCCTCTCTAGATCGTAAGTAATTCAAGCAATTTTTAAAGTTCATTTAGTTTGAAATAAAAAATGCTACTGTCACATTACATTAAAAAGAAGAATTATGGTTTAAAATATTTTCTCCTATCAGAGTTTGATTCATTATTAATGATTCAATTAGGAAAGACAGCAGTCCTTTTAGATGAAATAAAAATAAAAGCTGTATGTGTGTTGGGAGAAGTTTTAACAAAGCTAAGATTCCAGAAAAAAGAAATTCCTCACAATTGTCCAACAAAAATATTACTATCCAATTTAGATAAACTTTAATTTGAGGAAATAAAGTTAGCTTGGGGAATAAAGTAGTTCTTTCTTGCTGATAAGATAAGAAAAAAAAAGAAACTTTAAAATTTTTCACTTAATCCTCAGATACCAGAGTTTGTTTACAGTGGTTTTTTAATAGGGTTTATTTTGTGCATAGCACAATTCCCTAAACTCAAACTTTAAATTATGCAAGATTTGGTCTTGGAATTTCTCGTAATTCTCTGAATCTTGGTCTTTTAGCCATCTTGGGAATATTTTCATGAAAGAATAATACCATTCATGTGGATTCCACGTTTCCTGGCAGAAAGCATAAATTAGAAAACTAGATAATTGAGAACAGGAATGAATTGAAACACTATTGCAATTTTGTGTACCAAGACACAATGTCATGTGTAAAGACAGAAATATATTTCTGGAAATTTCAACATACATAGACACAAGTTTTGTCATTAACTATGATACCGTGACACTTGTGATTACAGGTATCAACTCTAATTAAGGAAATAAGACTGAAGTTATCACCTAGCATTTCTCTCACTGTTACATGAGAATACTCATGCATCTTGACATCTACCAAGTCCCTTCTCTACAAAGACCTAATCAACAGCCAGAAAATGGTAGAATAAAAACACATTTAGATACAAATATTGATTCAGAATCATTCTATATAAAATCTCTCTTCAATACTGATAATTTATTATCAAAATAAATATAGCATAGCCTTTATAATATAACCCATCCTCACTTGTAAATTAGACCTCCCCCCCAAAATGATTTTAATTTGTCTTAGAAAACAATTCAACCTCCAGTAAATTTGTAGAGTCAATGTTCAAACAGCTGCAAAGCACTTATATCTTGAGTTACTATCTGAATAATCTGGTGAATAAACAAATGCCTAAAAAAAATCCAAATATGATAAGTCCTTAACTACTGCTGGCTATTGAGTAGAAATTGAAACCGCTCCAGTACATGACCTAATTGTTGTCCTCACAGAAAGCCTCTGATGATTTTTACTACAAAAAGAAAAGAAAGGAAAAAGAAAACTACTATTGATGGTGTTTTGGTCCTCCAGGTATATGGATGGCACTGTTTAAATTCAGTCTAGAAGTAAAAGTGTCAATCTAGAGAATAGTGCCATAAATTCCTTTGAAAGTTGTCTGATAAAGTATTTAGGGATTAGATATCTATAAATATGCAACAAAAATAGTATAATACTGAACATATGCCTTGTAGTCGATGGCATATTACACAAGAACTTTTCCTTCCAACACAGCCAACTTTTTCTCACTCGTTAATAATTAAAAATTTCAGCATGAACAGCATCTTGTATTGCCAAGTTGCTTTAAGATACTAACTCCACATGGATTCAGTATAAATAAATATACTGTATCACATAAGCTGATCAGCGTAGTCGTTGAGGGGAAGCCAAAGTTATGCATTATATTTTTTGTTTAATGCTTTAGATCTTGAGGATCAGCGAAATAACCACAGCCTGTTAAAAATAAATAAAAGTAGCTGGGCACTGGTGGCTCATGCCTGTAATCCTAGCTACTCAGCAGGCTGAGATCTGAGGATCCTGGTTCAAAGCCAGCAAGGGGAAGGAAAAGTTCTTGAGACTCTTATCTCCAATAAAACACTAGAAAACCAGAAGTGGTGCTGTGGCTCTAGTGGTAGAGCACTAGCCTTGAGCTGAAGAGCTGAGGGACAGCAACCAGGCCCAGAGCTCAAGCCCCACGACCAACAACAACAACAAAATAATAATAATAATAATATAATAAAATAAAAGTAAAGAAAATGCGCACAGAAGAGTTTTAGGTCACTTACATGCCACTTCCAGAGACGCATTTCGGCTCACAGCTTCTCCAAGATAGTTCCTGGCAACGCAAACGTAGCTCCCCTCGTCCGGTTTACTTCGGCGTCCATGAACAATGCGCAGGAAGAACAGGGACCCACTGGGCAGCAGCATCCTGTGGGACCGGGGGTCATCCTTGTCGGTCTCCACCCGCTCACCATCCTTGTACCATTCGATGGTGGGTGTTGGCCGGCCCTCGGCCTTACAGTTCAGAGTGGTGGGCTCTCCCTTAGAGACAATGACATCAGATGGGTGCTCCACAATCCGTGGCGGGAAATCTTCCTGGCGAAGACGAGATCCTACAAAAATAAGACACAACCATGTCAGGTATTAGCATCGTACCTATATTCTCCGTTGCCCTTTGATTCATGATGGTGAAATTAAACTTTCCAATCATTTTACGGAATCACTGAACACTCTTGTTTTATGTTGTATTCTTCTTTTGGATTCATCTCCTATGTCTGAAATTTAGAAATACATTCCTATGTTAATTCTAATGAATGAAGTATGACATGTTCCATGAACAGCCAGACAATTGTGGCTCAGCTATTCGGAAGGCTGAGATTTGAAAGTGGCAATTCATAGCCAGCCTGCAGAGATAAATGCCAAAAACTTTAAAAAAAACATCAGACTAAGTTAATTAGCATACACGTTATATGCATACTCATAAAGAATAAAGATAATGTACACACTGTACATTATGAAGACAAATAGCCCCAGAGATTCCTAACTCCAATTAAACAGCAAAAAGCCAGAAGTGGAGGTGTGGCTCTAGTGATAAAGTACCAACCTAAAAAAGTACAGTAAAAACAAGTCAAGCAAGAGCTTGAGTCTCTGAGTTCAAGCCCTGTATAAGCACACACACAAACATAAGAAAAAGCAAGAGATTCTCTTTATGGTCCAACAAGTGTTACCAATTGCCCAGGTTGTAATAAAATATGCAGAGGTGTCAACTGAACTGAGGTGTGTCTAATTGGGAAATTCAAATTATGAGTCCCAATGTTAAGTAAGTGTACCATAGTGGTCTGGGAAATGAATCACAGAAATAATTTTTTTTTTAAGGCTGGCAGTTTGGCTCAGTAGTAGAGTGTTTGCCTCATATGCATGAGGCCCTGGGTTTGATTCCTCAGCACCACATAAGAGAAAAAAAAAAAGCCGGAAGTAGCACTGTGGCTCAAGTGGTAGAGTGCTAGCCTTGAGCTGAAGAGCTGAGGGACAGCCTCCAGGCCCAGATTTCAGGCCCCATGACCGACCCAACAAAAAAAAAAAATCCTTATAATTGTAAGTGGAGCACAATCAGAAGCCACTTCCTAAAAACAGGTAGCACTCAAACTGAGCTATAATGGAAGTAAATTCATTTAAATTAGCTTTAAGGAAAGTAAATTCACTAAGGGAAGAAGAGGTTCAGACTGAAGGAACACCATGAGCAGAGAACTTGGAAATTGGATTTGTGCACATTGTATTTTACACTCAAGAAGGAAGATGATATGCTTGGCAAAAGTTCAACGTGGTCTTGGAACCCAAGACTAATGGCCTTTCAATATCTTCCTACAGGAGTGTGACTGTTATCCTTTGCAGCTAACAGATACTAAAGAGCCAATGACTCTACGATCTGTGCATTAGAAAGATACACTTTATTTGCAGTATAAAAGATGGATATTAACAGAGCCAAACAAAGGAAAACCCCAAAAAGAATTACTTTAATTGTCTAACAAAAAAATCTAATCTTGAGAAATGTTGCTATAGCTAGATAAAAGTAAGAAGATACAACTCATACCACAAAACAACTATTTGACAGAATTTGATTTCTCTATGGTAAACAACAGTGATAAGTATGCTATAGTTTGAATGTCATCTTTCAAAGGTGCATGGATTGACAGCTGGGTCGTAAGTGTAGCAGAATTAAAAGTTGCTAGACCTATACAAGATATGGCCTACAGGAAGGCGGCAAGTTACAGTAGCATGACCTTTGGAAGAGATTTGTTGAAGGCTTTATAGCAAGGGCTGGTACAGAGTTAGCTGGCCTCTGAGTATCTTTTGTTTCATTTCTCACAACCATGATTTCTTCCTCTCCCATGGACTCCCACCATTATGCCATCCATCATATTGTGTTACAGCCAGAAAGCACTCACTAGAGTCAGCAGAAGCTGGTGCTATGCCTGATTCCTCCAAAACTGTAAGCTAAATAAACCTTTTAATATATAAAGCACCCCAATCGCAGATATTTCACTGTAGCTACAAAACACAGTAACACAAGTATCAAAGACTTCCTTGCATTTGCAATGAAAGTTGAGCTATTAAAGGATATAAGAAATATGAAAGAAGGATTGATTGACATTTTGAATATTGTGTTGTTCTGGATACTTCTGTTGGTTGTTCTTGTCTTTTTGTGTGTGTGTGCTGGTCATGGGGCTTTAACTCAAGAGTCTGGGCATTGTCTCTGAGCTTCTTTGCTCAAGCTAGCCCTCTACCTCTTGCACTACAGCTCCCCTTCAGGCTTGTTAGTGTTAATTGGCCAGAAGAACCTCAGGGACTTTCCTACCCCAGCTGGCTTCGAACCATGATCTTCAGATCTCAGCCTCCTTAATAGCTAGAATTATAGGCACAAACCACCAGCTCCTAGTGATACTTTTGATTTGTTAAGGAATCAGTATCCATTATTCATGGTACTATCCTAAAAACTATAAATTTTAAAAAAAGGTCGTAAAAACAATACCTATGTCTGAGGATGAGGTGGTGATCTGGATACACCTCTTCTCTAACTACAGTTTTTATTCCCAAGGTTAGAGGAGCAACCTTGAAATGCTAATCCTTTTCAGAAAGAAAGAGGAATGCTCATGAACAAATTAAATTCTGTTTATTAAATTAAAATGTATATTTTAATTAACATTGAAAGTTAACTGGAATCACAATGAGGAGCAAATGTTACTGGTGTTTATTGAGCAGAATTTTGTTATTATTTCATAACATCCAATCTGTCTTTGATGGCCTTGAGGTAAGCTTTCATTTTTTTGTTATTAATGTATTATTATAGAAGTGATATACAGAAGGATTATAATTAGCATGAGTCAGATGAGGAGTACATTTCCTTTGGCCCAATGTCTTCTGCTCCCTATTCTCTCCCAGTCCCTCCCTCCCATCTCTATCCATGGTTATACAGTCAGTGTCCAGTGAGCTCTACTGCTGCACTTTTTTACCTCAGGTTCTGTACCCTCACTCTAAAAATGAAAAGGAAGAAAGAGAGAGGTAAAGGAAGGAAGGAAGGAAAGAAGGAGGAAAGGAAGGAAGGAAGGAAAGAAGGAAGGAAGGAAGGAAACGGTCTCATTTCCATATCTTGGAAGGGTTTTTTGTTTGTTTGTTTTTTGTTTGTTTTTCCTGTCCTGGGGCTTGAACTCTGGGCCTGGGCGCTGTCTCTCAGCTCTTCAGCTCAAGGCTAGCTCTCTACCACTTGAGCCACAGTGCCACTTCTGGTTTTGTGAGTAGTTTATTGGAGATAAAGTCTCCCAGAGTTTGCTGCTGGGTCTGGCTTTGAACCACGATCCTCAGATCTTGGCTACTGAGTAGCTAGGATTACAGGCATCAGCCACTGGCGCCTGGGTTGGAAGTTTTGTTTTAAAATATAGTTTTAAAGAATTACTAGGGGAAGAGGAAATGGAAGGTAAGAAGGAAGAGAGGAAAGAAAAGGAAAGGAAAGAAAAGGAAAAATGGGAAGGGAGGGAAAGGAATAACAAAGTTGAGGAAGAAATCTGGGTGGGGTGGGGCACACCGAAAATCAATCCAAGCTACTCTAGATGCTGAAGTGGGAGGATTACAAATTCAACGCCAACTCTAGCAAAGTTAGGGAAATCTTATTTCAAAAACCAGACTTGGAAAAATCGTATTTAGTGAAGTAAGCAAGACCAAAAGAAGCATAGTTTCCATGGTTTCCCTTATGCAATAATTAGTGTACATCTAGGATAATCTAAGCAAATGAGCAGAATAGCTCAATAGCTTCCTACATATAAGATGATACTAAAGCAAGATGAACTCCAAGACATGGATACAGAGATTTTTCTTTATTTGTTTTGTTTTTAATGTACTATGGGTTTTTTTTTTCTTTTGTGCCTTTTTCTCCCTATGGTTTATCCCCTGTAGTCACTGTATTTGATTTTGGTGCCCTAGGTATTACATATATGTTTATCTGAATTAGGAAAGGGAAAAACAAATGATGAGACAAAGGACAAAGGAGGAACCAATGCAACAGAGATACTAACAAGCCAATATGTTAGAAATGATCTGTACAACTTGGGGGGAGGGTTGGGGCAAAAATGGAATAAAAACGAGGGAGGGGGTAACAAGTTTGACAAGAAATGTACTCAGTACCTTACTTACGTAACTGTAACCCTTCTGCATATCACCCTGACAAAAAATTAAATTAAATAAAGAAAAGCAAAAGGACTGATAGCATATCCTAAATCCTGTAGTGCTTACTAGTTTGTGTCAATCCTTACTACAAGGACATTTTAAAAAGTATGAGAAAGAAGAGGACAGAAACTATGGCCTGTGAATTTATACAAGTTCACAACCTCATACTATCTGGTCCACCACAACTTGAGTACAGTCTAGAGTATCTGTTGTTTACTTTTCATTAGTACTTAATTCATTAACAAATTAGTTTTAATTTTTATTTTTATATGGAACCACAAACTTTTTTCTTCAGATTTCAAATAAAAACAATTTCAAATAAAGAATCAGCATTGTTAATATTGCACATATAATACAAAATATTCTTGACATCCTTAGGAACAGATAGGAGGGCAGTGTATCTGAATTACTCACATGTTCTAACTTCACTTAGAGCTAATATCAATTCTGACATCTAAAGTACTACTAATTGGGCAACCAACTAAATTTTAATTTAAAGCATTCTATTAAATTCACCCTAGCTAGTTACTATAAAAGAAAGATAGTTAAAAGTAATTAGTAGGTCCTAAAGATGACATCCAAATGTTGACTTCCAGTGTCTAAGAAAGTAAATGTGTAGTCAGGTGACTTGTGCATAATTGAAAAGCCAATAGACACACAATGGGAACTCAAGATCTTCAGAATATGCCGAGTTTGTTGTTGTTGTTGTTTTTTGATTTTGATTTTTTAAGGAATGGAGGGAAAAGGTAGAAGGCAAGTGGATCTAGGCTAAATCCCAAGAACCTATATACAATTTAATTTCAGTAAAATGAATCACTTATCACAAGTCATAACTTAGCCAGAAAACATTTCACTTTCCTTTGTTTAAAATGTGATTCTCAGATTACCTGCATCA